TAGTGACAAAAGAAGCTAAGGACAACTAACTTACCTTTGACGCAAACAAAAAAGGTAATTTGTTATTGAAATGGTACATACTCGGGACGGGGAGAAGTGAAACAGCATTCTTAATCACATTATCAATACCGTGTAACATTTAACGCATTTTTTACAACAAACGCGTTCGACGAATTTGCAAACTACTCGTACTTGACAACACTGGGAGTTATCTCCCTTCATACACGGATTACGAACAGTGCTCGAAAATAAACATACTACGATTGACGATTACATTGATTTGACTAAAACTAATTGCTGCATACTTGACACCTGTCGTACTGGAAAAGAGTCGATAATAAATCACTTGCTACCTCCGTCCACTGGAATTTAATTCCCCTATATAGGTACATTTCATTACCTGATCACGGAATGGGTTGTTTGGTAACAACCTGTTCGAAAAAGGGGAGATAATCAATAACCGTGCCCCTTTGTTGGCCGACCTGTTTTTGTTTTCATACGAAGCTGAAATTATCGAAGAGCGTATCAAAATAGGTTACAAAGATCTAGCTAAGTCATTCATTTGCACTATATTGATGGCGTCTTAAGATTAACAAGTCAATAATATATTGAGTAAATTGATATATTTTATCCATCGGAAATGAAAATCTAGGACAGATTCTTATACATCAACCGCTTACGTCGATGTTTTCCTACAAAAACGAAACCATCATGGACAGTTTTCCACTCCGTTAAACTGTATGATAAACGTGATTGTTTTAATTTCCCTGGTGTGAATTTTCCATTTCTGGATAGCAATATTCCTGCATCCGCAACTCATTGTATTTGCAGGTCTTAATTAATTCGATATTCAAGGGCGTGTTTCCATTATCACGATGATTGTGAAAGTCAAAAAACTCGTGACACAGATTTTCAACGATGCGAGTTGGTGACTATTATGCCGATTTTCATGGTCGTTATCTTATTGAAAATAATTATATTTTCTTGTGCGAAACTGAAGTGATTGATGCTCGCTCGTTGCCCAGTGTTGCCGTTATTGTATGCTTTATTTCATCTGAGAATGTGGCATTACTTACTTGGATTGACCAATATTTACAAGACGGGTGTCGTCGATGAAGTCGAAGACGCTTACACTTCCTGATCTCCTGGTCTTGTTTTCCTTGTTCTTTTTCAGGAGTCTCCATAACAATCTGTTTATATTTTGCTCTAGTTTAATTTAATTTCAATTATGTTTATGTTGACATGGTGGCAGTTTTTTTTTCTAGTAATGATTAAGACATTAATATAATTGAAATTATCAATTTTGATTATGATATAATACATGCCATTTCGATTCCTCGTAAAATATTTTCCATTTTTTTCTGAAAATGTTTGTTATACCCAGGAACTACATTGCTTTTTTTTCTTGATCACACACTATAAACTGTTCAATATCCTCTATCCTTTAAAGTATCCTTATAGATTATTCCACCCATGATCAGAATATTCAACTACCTGTTGTTTTTGCACTTTTCTCTAAATCCAGAAAAGGTTTTCTCCTTCTATCCAATAATCCTTCCCTGGTATTGGCGTTTGAGTTAATCAGTTATCCAATATTCATATTTTTGAAATTTCCCTGATCCGTTAAAGACATTTTGGTACTGAAACATCAATAATATCAATGGTACAATTTGATGTTTCAAGACAAAATCAACAAATAATCTTCACAGGAAATCATCCTTGTGTCCATTATCACTTAGTGAAGAGTGCTGTAGTACCGAGGATGCTCTTACAGGTATACGTGTATTATACAAAAAATAATGAAGAGTTAGGTTACGGAGATGTAAAGGTGAGTTTTGTTTAATCGAGATGAGAATTTTGCAGTCAGTTATTGCATGATGTCTCGTCGTTCGGGATTTAATTAATTGTTTTTCTCTACTGTATCTAAATCTATATTTATATCAGAAGCAATTGTGTGTTTTGTTCGGTCTAATACGAAAAATGGTTGTTTTACGGGTACATATGTTATTGATTAACTGATGCCTTGTGAGTTGATATGCACACCTAGCAAACACTCTTTACGCAAAAGGTAATGCGATTGCTTATTGTTGTTAAAAAGAGACCGTCTTCCTTTACTGTTTTGACCTTTGTTTTCAGTCTAATCTATTTCGTGATCGAATTCATTTCTTTCGAGGAAAGGGAGGTGGAGAATGGGGTGGGGTTGGGGGCTGGGCGAAGATGCTCGAAACATGGGGTAAGTAAGGAATGAATAGAATTATATTGCTAAAACGTTAATGCAAATAGAGAACTTTCCTTCTCTTCAATATCCAAATTGATGAAAATCAAGAAAGGAGAATTACGTTTATTGGCTGCATACCAAATTTATTTTTAGTAACACTTTACATTGCAGTGGCAGTATTGTGTCATCGATCATATACAACTGAAATCCAGTTTTGTAATGAAGATTTTTAAGGAAAATATGACGTTTAATTTGTAATTCATAAAATCTGACATATTTTTTCATTGTCAAACTGTAGAAGCCATAGACCGTAAATGATAATTTAATGGCAATATTCACATTCATTATAATGTTATTGATGTTTACATTTTTTTCTTGGCTATGTTTATTTTAAAGGCAGAACGAAGGTAAAGTGGTATATTAATGTGATAAATTCTGGGTTCAATTCAAAAGTTTATATGTCTTACTAGCTTTTTAAACCGTTCTAGTACATTTTCCCCGTCTCGTACCGCAATTACATGATGTACTAGCCACAATCTGTTTCCATCCGCCCAGTATGTAAATCTGTAGAAAATATTCATCAAGCAAAGGTAGAGACGTCATTTTGTGCTATTCTGAGACTCGTTCCGGGGTACTACCTTTCATCTCAAGGCTTTAACACTGGTTAGTTATAAGGTAGTCCAACCTATACCCTCCATATAGGAAACCAGTGAACCAGGTTATCAGAAGTAGAAAAAATAACGACGAACTAGCATAATCCTAAACGAAACTCCAATCACTGTACACAGATTTATATTTAATGGCTCATAAGTCATCATTCTCTGGATCAATTTTAGTGAATCATTGTAGTTTATCAACACATAAATCTTTACTCTTTAATTGTTTCCATGAACTTTACCATGGAAACGTAATGGAGTGTTTTGTATGGTCAAAACATTGATAATGTTCGATTATGCTGGTTTGTGCTGATCATTATGAGAGTACTTTTTTTCCAAAATAGGAAAAAAATACAGATATATTTTTAAATTCAGAAAATATCTGAACTCATATAATAAAACATGAGAATAATATATGTCATTTAGTCGTCATGGTAACAAGGTAAGATGAGCTGGACCTCACAGATGCAGATTTGCGGTTGCCTTCATATCTGGTCTCCTACAAAAATACATTTGTGCACTGACCCATGTCTTTCATAATATATGACAATGCGCTGGGAAATGACAAGACAGTGGCAATTGCTGTATAAACTCTGTAAGGTATTTGAGTCCCTTTTTGACAAATTATTGGGTAACATGTAGGAAAACAAAAAACAGTCAGCCAAGAAAGGACCACAGTTTGCATGTTGGAAGATCTTACTACCAACCTTGTATTGCCATTCACATTTCTTTGGAAAAGAATTTCTCTTAGCAAGAAAATGAAGGTGTTCCTTCAATTTAGAATGGGGCATGGTAATAGACAGAGTTGGAAAATGAAATGATCTTATTGAAAAAATGTTCTTTTGAAGAGGATATCGACTATTGTTCAAAAGTTCTTTGAAATTCCATATACCATGATGTTCTACTTATTGTAAACGGTTCCACAATGAGACTTACATTGACTGATTTGATAGTACTGATAATGGTTATACAACGTCTGGAATCGACATACAGACTAACAAATTGTATTCTAGCAAACTAATGATAGGTGATGGATCAACTTGCCATTGAGACAGACGCAGAGATGAATGTGAATGTGTCATATATATAAATTGCACATTCGTTTACACTGAGGAACAAAGACCAGCCTTGATGCATACAATGGGCGCATTTTATTAAATTTAATTGACTTACAACATACCTAATCTTGATTATAGCATGATATAGTTGCATTCCTCTTTTAAACAGAGGAGAGCAAGATATGCCATACAGTTGACATATGCAAAGGTTTGAATTATCTGAAAGTCATTGGTCATTGTTAATATGACATGATTACAAAATAATTTCGTTCATATATCGCTGAAAACAAAACGATTCGTTCACACCCTAGATGTAGTATCTCAGTTGGTAATTTTTAAGTGTATGGTTCAGCCTTATTTGTAATTGTTTTGTTTAAACTTGCGTTCTTTCCTTAGTTCTTAAATCACGTATATGGTGAATTGTGTTGTTGAATGAGTATACTTTGGTACAAAGGAGTCGATCATCTATCACAAAAGGGAAATTTGGTTAGGCTAACTTATATCTAAGCTGGTTGTTATTATCAATAAAACATGCATACATATTGTAATGAAGCTATCGTTTTCAAGATGAATATGACTTTGTTATGATGAAAGTGTCACACGGGATCAATAATGTTATCAAACACGTACACACTATTGGCCTGACCTGTAGGTTTCTTTATCATTTAAGATAGTAAAAAGTAGATCAAACAAACACTGCGGATATTAAACCTACTGTAAGTACCAACAGTGTTTTTGATCGTGTTATACTAAATTTCACGATTAGTTGATACCAGAAAAGATGAAGTTTCAGCTTCTATATATTTGCTTCAGAAGGGTTTTTTATCAATGTAGTTTTGACAGGTTTTGGTTCCAATGCGATAAATGTGATTAAAATGACGATAGATGTTTACATCGACCGGTTTCTCCAAAGATCTGTATATTATTCTTATCCCTAAAAATTAATCAATAATAAGTTATAAATTGATCATTGGAGTAATCCAATACTGTACATCATGATTGTCTCTCCTAACGTCTTTCAATCATTACAATTTCCTAATAATCTTATTTCAGTTCCTTGTATAACCGATGGAGGAACGACAGGAAAATTCCAAAGAAAAGGAACCTGAACTTATTCCCCTGGAAGAGGATTTGGATAAAATTTACCATGATCACACGGAGAAGTCGTTCAAAACTGAAATTAGGCGAAAAAATGAAACTCGATTCAAACTCCTACAAAGTCTGTTTCTCGCTATGGCATTCATGATATTGGTTTGTATCTTCAATAATTGAATTACCATTATGGTTATATTTGCTTGTATTTCGATTACATTAGAGTATAATATCGTTTTAACATAGTATCTTCACAACCTTTACACATTTACAAATATGTTATTTCATCTGTGCAAATCGTAAGAAGCGACTGAAGTTGGAATCCGAATAGTTTCTCTATTTTCTTTCTTAAGTTTGTTCTTCATGCTGTCTCTGTAGGCATTGCCTCAATAATGACCCTAAGTTGAGCGTTCGTCTCTGGGATCTGCCCCCTGGCCGAGACATGTCAGCTTATACAATAATAGTTACTGCTTCCTGCTTATTGTTCACTATTATAATAGTGTAACGACATGTTACCCATTGTCAGTAGAATGTGACCGGATGGGATGCCCTACTAGAAGTCATCAATAGTGTACTTCATTGTTGTATCATTATAAAGTCGGCTTCAGTCCTGCAGTAAGGAGAATTAGAAAATAAAACACCTATATCTTATCCTCCTATAGAATCATAGGCATCTACACTAAACACACACAGTGACAAGGCATGCACTGGGAAAACTTTCTTCAATGACTAGTTGTTGATAGGACGTTTAGCATTATAAACCAAACTGGAGATAAACTGAAGGATAACATATATATTTCCAAACATATCATACAGCTTAGAGTTCCTGGTAAACTATGAGGATATGTAAAACTGTTAATGGTAGAAACAACAAAAAGTTTTATACATTTATAACGATTGTACATTTAAATTTAGGGATGGTCTAAAGGACAGCTTGGACCAGCGTTTATGGATCTGTTGTTTATTACTGGAGCTGACTTGAAGGCCGGTTCTGGATTTATGACGTCGTATTATGCCGGTCGTATGCTGGGTTCAATACTAGCAGGTGTTATCTATTTAAAAGTAAACAAATATCTTATATTTGTGTTTTCTATATCCATCAATGGGATCATTGTAGCAGCAATACCATGGTGTTCCCAATACGAACTAATGATGGCCGCTCATGTCATACACGGTGTTTCCGGAGGCGTCCTTGATGTTGGTTAGTATTTTCTGTAAACAATCTGTATGTTCTTTGTTCGTTTTCATATTTGGTTTGTTTTTTGTTATTATTGTTGCCAAGTAATGAATTAGTGTGATTTATATTTCTTTTTCTTTACTTCAAGACTTTGGAGGTAGGTATCGTAATACAAGAGAAGCAAGATATATTTGTAAGATGGGGACATTGATTCCACGCGTCAAGTCTAGTAGAGGAGAAGTCAATAACACGTTTTAATGCATAGCGAACAATTGTTAAAATAGACATACAAATGCTATGAAAATGCATCGCTCGTTTTCTCATAGATGATATTGTCCTTCATGAACGAGTATACACACTGTATCGAAACAACAATGAAAACGTCTTTCTTTTAATTAGATAAGTTAAAGTCCCTTGTCATGTTTCTTAATATGTTTTGTTAACGGTAAAGTCAAGAGTGAGCTGGCCTGACTACAGGTAAGTCATTACGACAACGAAGCAAAACAATCTCGATAATCACTGGTTCATATTTTATCATACAGTTGTGAGGTCGCACAAAACGTCTAAGATATATTCACACCTAAGTAAGTTTTCTAGTACAGTTAAGTATATTTCCTTATCAAGCCGTATATATTAAGGTTAGATACCTGAAGATCGTATTGGTACTGACTGAATAGTTAAATGTATTCTTAATTAAGTATGTTTGGTTTACAAGGTGCCACACATGAGAAGTCGTAATGTACAGACTCATTATATATATATGTAAACAATAAATAGCTCTCAATTTGCTATCATTTTCTAAAAGGAAAATTTATACTCAGGTGAATTTCAAGTGTCGTGTTTTGCTACACTGGAGACCTGTCGATACGGTACTGTTGGTGTCGTGCAAGCATGGCTTATTTTGTTCTTGTTCCCAGGTCACACCACTCGCCACGCTATGGGCTTCGAACTATATACTAGAAAGATAACGACGAGTTTGGTTGTAATTTGATTGATTGATGTAAAATTATTAATTATCTACCAATCAGCAGTCAACGTTTGATAGGCATGTAAAGTCATTAAGTAACAAGTACATGACTTTTCCATTAAATGTTCAGTCCGTAACATAAATCATTTATTTTCATAAAAATGTAGAAAATGTGTGTTCCTATCGTACAATTGTGCGCAAGTTATTTCATCCCGCGTGTGTGCGGAAGATGCATGCACATTTTGTTCACGAAAATTGCTGTGCGTTGTGCGAACATTTCAAGATATCGTAAAGCAATTATCAAATTGTGAATGATGGATATTTTCTTGGGACATTAGATGGAACAAATCACTCGCTTTTCGATCCAATAGTAATCGAGTGGACAGATATATCCGTAATAGTCCTCGATTAACGATAAAAATCAAACAGATATTTTATTGTACTATCTGGATATCTGGTTTTAATAAAAAAATATTGGGAATCAAAACAAACATCTTGATTAAGAAAAACTGTCTTCAATACTTGATGAATTTGTGCACATCACGTGTTATAAAGCATCGTGCGCGTTTTAAGATAAAAAAAACACATTAAAATTGATATATGCTAAAGATTACGACGTTCAAAAATAAATTCGAAAACAATAAATAGCCGCTCACTCTGATAAAACCGTTTGAAAAACAAAAAAGTAAAGGAAAGAAAATAAAAAAAGAAAGAAAGAACATAAAAAAAACCCCGAAAACCCACTTAAGCGTGATAATATTCCTTATTTCCACTTTCATGGAAAGAAGTTGATTACAGACTGGTAAGATTATCGAATCAAATTCGTATGCTTCTATTAACACGTAGCGATGATATGTCGTTAATCATATATATATATTCTGTGTAAAGTGTGATAACGAAAAATTTGAAGTTAAATGTATCTCTTAATTAAGAAAATAATGAATATGCAAATTTTGAGATTTAAATACTATCAGAAGCGACCGATATTCTAATATGGGATATCGGAACCAGGAAGTGCCGTAATTTTTCACATTTTGACAATTTAATGTATTAAAATTAGCGAATCTTAACACATTTAGGAACAATATCAGCTTGTTAGATAAAACTTTCAAATGTTTTCAGATGGGCAAAATTATTACATTTTATACAAAATTAATTTGATACATAGTCTTATCCTTACATTTTTTGTAGATTATAATAACTAAATGAAATAAGAAATAAATTGAATATAATTGTAATTTGTGTTTGTTTCAGCAATCACATCCGAGGCTGTCAAAATATGGGGACCAACTGCAAGAGGGCGTTCTTATCTCCAAATACTTGCTGCATCATTTGCTGTATCAGGACTGCTTGCACCCATGGCAACTGCGCCATTTTTATTGCAAACAAAAGACAATGTAAACACATATGATTTTTTAAATACTTCGTCTGCCGTAACACCTAACCATGAAATGTCAACAGGAATATATCAAGATTATGAAAATCACTCTCAAGTCAACCAGTGGAGTAACAACACGAATAAGCAACAATCACAAATATACATAGCGTTTTCTATATCAGCCGGTCTCGCTTTTCTTGTCGTGATACCGTTTATTGTGTTATTCTTGAGGTCAGGGCCAGACGGGGAGAGACAGCGAAGAAAAAGGGATATAGATTTCATAGGAAATGTACCAATTATTTTCAAGCGTTTACAAATCATTAATATTGGAATGTTTTCCGCGGCATTTACAGGAGTTGACTTCACATTTGCAGGATATCTTACTGTGTTTTGTGTCCAATACAGCAATTGGACAAAGACGACCGCTGCCATGTTAACTTCCGTTGTATTTTGTTCTACACTTGTATGGCGATTAGGAGGAGTGTTTGTTGTTCAGAAATTTAAGTCTCAAACGTTGTTGTTTTGCGGATCTATGATATTGCCTCTAAGTTTTGTTGCTATGTATGTGAGTGCACGCGCACAATTTAACGCAGGAATGTGGTTATCAGTTGTTCTTTTAGGTATTCCGTTCGGCATTTTGTGGCCTGTGTTTTTGAGTTGGGTAAACGAAAACTTGGTTCCAGTTTACGGCAAAGTCGTGGCATACTTGTTGGTGACGTCATTTAGCGGGGCCATGGTGACTCCAGTTTTGATTGGATACTTAATGGAAAATGAGTCGCTTTTGTGGTTCTGTTACCTTTGTTTTATCTTGTCTGTTACTGTTATAATCAATATTATCTTTATGATAATTTATACTCGTTGTGTAAATAGCTCTAAATACGGACACAACGACCCTCCGAAAGTTTCAAAGAAGAAATTATTCCACAAGTAACATAAGTGACTGATGTGATTTTCTGTACTTAAAATTGATATTTGATTCCTGTGTCATCTGTTAATTTTACAAAAATAATACAATATGATTCAAAGATCAGGTAACTTTTGCATAGATCGGGTGTACGATAGGAATTTTTCCCCCAAGGAATCACAAAATGTCGTAAAACTTAAGGCTTTGTCGAGCATTTTACCACATTTTGTAGCCTCGACACTCGAGGGTGAAATATCTCATCTTAACTCCTACATATGAAAGAATATTTTTCTCTCATTTCTCGATTTTAAATGCTGAAGAAGAAAATGTCGACCATGGACTACATAGGACGCCACATCATCCTGAATCATGTTTTTATTAAGTAATTAATCGACAAATGGATATAGAAAATAATTGTCCGGGCGTACAATTGGTAAACAATGATTTCGCTTGAAACACAAAATATAAACAGTCACTGCAAATAACAGTTTTTACAAAAATGAATGTATTGTATCAGGGGATGACGTCAGTTGGAAAGGAACACGTTACATTTCTACGCGCGCGTGTCTGTATTGCATTGGAATTACAAGAACACCGAATCCGGATGAGACAAGTATTATACAGGTAGAAATGAGAGAAAGCCAAGGATGCATTATTTTCACTTCAATTTAACTTACTATAATCAAAACATTACGGTCACCGCGTTAGAGAGCCTAGTTTACTATTTTTGTGGTGATGTCCACCTTTCAGGTCAAGTATTATAATATGATAATGCGGTGTCCATTTCACAGGATTACATATTTTAAATACAATGATAATAATAATGATATTACTGACACACGGTACTGTATTTGCCTACATTACCAACGTAAGTCAGAAAGTCAGCGAAAGTTTCGAGTTGTGTAAGCACTCGAAGGATTTAAGTTTCAAAAGGAATTTTCTCCGCAACACTGAAAAATATAAAAGGGAGAGTTTATAACAACAAATTCACAGGTATAAAGAAAGAAATCAGTGTCAAGAAATTGATGAACATAGGTTATATAATGACATAATCTTAAGGATGATGGGTAAACAATATAAATTAAAGTAAATATTCAACTTTAATTTGTCTTGATGTTTTACTATGGCTTCATGTGATGTGTATCTTACACTAAGCAAAATAGAAAACATCTTTATTTCTCTCGTTTGTGTGTGACCGAATTCTTATGAACAGTATAGAAATAAGACTACACAATTATCACTGGAATACCGTTTCATGGAGCTATTTCTACATCTTCAAGTTGTTTCCCTCTTTAAAGTCCTTGTGTCTTGTTTACTGACTTTCTTCCATAATATTACATTGCTATTTTTGATAATTCTTTGGGGGTATGAACAAGGTTTATATATTACAGACACTTATTTTTATTCTTTGATAAGTTTCTTTTTCTACATATTGTATATGCAATGCCATCAGATAATATTATATATGTAGATGAACATTTAAAGAGTTTCACACACCGTAAACAGATACCTTACCATCTGACAGATACTGAACAATGTAGACAAGATATTAATATATATTTGGTTTAATTATCAAAATGTTATGTCTTTCCTAAACCACGGCCAGACCAGTATTAACTCTTGCAATGCCATCGGTTCTAGAAGTAATCTTAATTTATATATTGTTTATCTGAATTTTGATCTAATTGGTTTACACTACTTTTTCATTGAAAAGAAAACTGCCAAGCTGAAAATACAGAGTGTTATAAAACTTTCTATAACAAACAGATATGTAAACCATGTTGCCGTTACCGCGAACAGATGAGTGAGTATTGGCGGGTTAACTGTAGCACCAATAAATGCTGCTACAAGGAGAGCAGACGACACTCTACCAGTAACGGGGACAAACGCCTCGTGCGTCCAGGACACCAGAGCTCCTGGAATCGGCCCAGTAGCCACGCCTACTAAAGCTGAGCAAGCCCACATCCCAGGACTCCACAGGGTATGAGCTATAAACGCCATTCCGATGAAAGAACCAATCAAAAGACACATTAGTATCCCCATATATACATCCAAACGAATGACTCGCACCAAAAATATAGCGGCAAAACGACTGAATAACGAGGCAACAAACACAATGGATGTCAGAAAGGCTCCATCCGTTGTCTTCCAATGCAATTGTCTAACACAGAACAAGGTGAGGAAATCCGTAAACGTATAATCCACCGAGTTGTATACAGCAAATAGTGTTGACATTAATACCAGGTAAAACACTTTCCGTTTGACAGTTAGATGCTGTGTCGATGAGTACCCTTGCTCTATGCCTGTATCAGCTGTTTTCACTGTCACTGACATTTGTACAGATCTAAAATGCCCCCGATATACTATCCACACCGTCAGTAGCGATACAAACGCTATAAAAGTAAGAACTGCTGTTATTGTGTAAGCTTTGTAAAACTTCAACGGTTCTGGCTGAACTAACGATTCGTTGGTTTCTAACACTATAAAACTATGTGTTGTTGAGATTAGTATATTGTTTTGTATCTGGTGAATCCCTCTGTGTAACGTTTGCTGAAGACAACGAAGTATATTTTATATCAGTCAGAAATGGTGCAGAGGCCAACGGGGATGCCACAGACGCCAGTGAAAATCCAAAAGCCAATATTTGCATATATGATTTGGAATTATTCTTCCATATTCGCACTGCTTCGGCGAAAGTAACTACAAAGAGAAGACATTTGTATCAATTAGATACATGGATCATGGTAAATGTGCGGTTCTCAATAAATATCTTTAAATAGCGAGGAAGTCTCCATTTTTATCAACTACTACACGGTGTTAGATACAGATGTTTGAGGACTGAGATGCATTATTATCTGCTTTAAACACTGGCTATCAAATAGTATTGACTTTTCTTTTCGGTAGAGCTGCTTATTGATAATTTTTAACAATACAAAATATAATAATAGATCCAAGGCACTTACTTGTATCAAAAATTCCAAAACAGAAACCTTGTATAAAATGAGTGGTCACCATAGCAATGTAATTGGAACACCAGGGAATGACAGCAATGTCGACAGTCACGACAGCAAAAATGACAGCAGATAACAATGGTGTTGGTAGACGAAGAAACAATATTGCACAGGCCAGACATCCGATTACAACACCCACGTAGTAGATGGTCCTAATAATGCCTCCTTGGTCAAGACTCGCATCAGCGATACGGAGAATGTCTGAGAATGAGGGACCAATTTGAGCTTTCATCCATCCCTAAAATGGTTGAAGACATGTAATATATTGAATATACTGATGTTGAAGAACAGCAGCATAGGGTTATTTCTTTGATTACGTATTTAAATAGTTATTTTGGGAAATTCCTGTCGTACTGTAATAATGCTACTATATATTTCACGAATATATCGATCATTCTAAATATATTTTTTCTAACCTTTCCTGCTTTTTCGTTTTCTTTGGAAGGATGTTATATTATGCATTTTAATCCTTCTTACATACTAATATCGTCATTACCGTTGAGATGTACAATATAACGCTTTAACTGCGCAATGTTGAATGAGACGCTCTATAAGATATATATATTCCTATTTCTATCTAAGGTAATACCATTACATCTATAGTTGACATTTTTCTTCAAGACGTTCAACGATAGTTTTTTGTATTCACTCTTGATTGATGTAATATTATTTTCAAATGAATGATAATAAGACAAGGTTCTAGCTCGGGAAAATTCTAATTTACAACTGATTGCATTTGTTTGAAATGGTCATTAATAACGTAGAAATTGTTTAGTATTTGTATATGATTTAAATACCACTTTGTGATTATAACCATTCAAACGATTGAGCAAAGAAAGACAACTCTTCTATAATACTGCTTCTAATCTCGCAAAAAACGTTGATAAGTTGGTGAGCTAAAGTGTTGGATTACCAAAACTTCGTATCGCCTATACACTGACGGAAGGCCGTCATCATATCTGTGTACTAGTACCTTCATACTGTGGTCAAGTTAAGTAAAACCATGTTCGTAATTACCAGTAACATGTAGGCGAAACACTGAACTACACTATAAGTAAACTTGGCACGAAACTTCTTGTTCTGCTGAATCTTCTGACAAAATGTCTGTTGATATTGTCTCTCATTATCTGTTTCCCAATCTCCAGCTTTTTGTTGATAATCTTTTTCATAGTCCAAAGTACTGATGAAATGGTCCTGGTCCTTTTGCATTTCTATAACAAACAAAGATGCTAATGATTCTCGCTACATAAAATGAACATCGCCATAATAAAATGACATGATAAAATCGCAAACATCAGCGTTAGTACTGAAAATAATTTTAATAATTAGTTCAATTTAAATTAGTTATTCTTCTTTTATTTCAAATCCATGGAGACTAAAAGAAATGCCGTTTATTCAAGAAGGCGACGACGTCCATTACTTGTGTTTCACATTTTGTAAACGCTTTAACCTAGCAGTCAAATCCTCGTGTTTATCTACCCCACTATAAACTCCGGTAGACATGCAAAAGTATTTACCAAGAAGTCAGATTCATGTTTACCGTCATGTAGTGTCAGATACTATTCTTAACACTGGTCAGTCTATTCTACCATCTTTGTTTATTGTATCCACGTGGTTTCTGTCTCTATTGTAACTGTACCTCCTGGTATGTGATCGAAGGAAGTATAGCAAAATGCCCTTTCCTTTTCTATGGAACTATTCCATCACTCACAATGGTGCAATGAGACTGAATATTCAGCTTCTAAAATATGTTCAATCATTGTCAAATATCCATTTATGTTCAGAAACGTTTTCTCATTTTAAATGTAAATGATATAAGCGTGAAAAATCAAATTATAAAATGTTGAAAATTTGAACTTAAATCTTCTGTCGGACTGAATATCTAACATCGAAAACAATACAAGTCTACATACTTCTTTACTTTCTTCTGACTGACTGATGTGACTAAATTTTATGTTTTAAGTTGCAACTTACCTTGGTATCATAACTTTTTTCTCTTTTCTAAAGATCTTTCTATGTGTAGGCACTGTCTCATTTTTTTGGCCTTTAGATGAGTTTAGGAACCTTTGAGGAAATGTTTGGTTCTGTTCCCTGGACAAGATATACCACAATCTTAAAAAATGATAGGTACTTCTCCCTGATTAACTTTCAGCTTTGTTCCGACCGAACCATCCCTTATCATTGTAATGTGACCGGATGAGATATACTGGTTGCGACCGTTGGAAGTATACACACACACACACACGCACACACACTTATGTACATATTTTAAATCGAGTAGCTGTCACTTAGTTACATGCTGGATGTTTTACGTATTTTTTTTTTTTTTTTCGTTTTCAGTGTGAACATATGGACTGAGTATGTAATTGTTGTGCCTTGTCACTTTGTTATAACATTTGAGAATAGTGTATTAGGACCTGAGTCATCTAGTCGATACAACGTTGAAAAGTGAAATGACACCACTGGAGTAGAACTTTATTTCCATTTAAAATACCTAGAGCGTTGAGATAATGTATTTTGTCCTTTTTTAAAGAAAAATAAAAGATTAGGTCTTCATACAAGTATTTCTGATCACGAATGATATTACTAAGCAGGTAGACACAAAATGTAGTTCATCTATGTAAATGTAAGAAAACGATTATGAAAATATCGTAAATAACTGTTCTAAAATTATTTGATACAATGTGTATGAAAATTAAAAAATTGATTTGTTGGACATTCCATCACTTAGTATTTTCCTATGTCGCCTCATAGGTTTCAAACGAAAGTTCCTAGAAGAACAAAACAGCTGTATGGTGCTGTGTAATTCATTGTTTGGCTCTATCTTATCGAAATATAAATCATTAAAAGACGATATTCACTAATGTGTCTTTTGTACAATAATATATATCATCATTAAAAGACAAAAATACTTTCGTATTATTTTGTCGTTGAAGTCTATCAACTTGAAATACCGGACTCAATATTTAGATATGAGATATAGGTGCACAAATAACATAAGTAATCTAATAATAAGCTGATGAAAATTCTGACATACTATTCACTTACCCAAATAGTTATCCGACAGTGACTCTAACAAGTAAGTGATAGAGAAAGGTTGCGATTTCCGGGTCTACAAACACCCAGTGATATGTCGATTTTTTGTCAAACGTCGTAAGTTATTAATTACATCGTTTTGTAGGCATATAGGACTTGAAAGCGGATAGGAAATTGAAAAAAAAACACGCACACACACACACACACACAACAAGAACATATCAACATGTCAACATGATTCAATAGAAAGATATACAAAGACGAAACCAACAGTCAAAGTAGCGACCATAAACCTGGTCCCGCTGGAAATCGAATATTTCTCAATAAGAAAACTATGACGACCTTAAAACGTTCCAGTAATTTTAAAGTCCTTCATCTTTTAAAACCTTGTGTTGTGAGTTTGTGTGGCAACTTAGGATTGTACCTAGTTTTGCTAGTCCTTCCTTAAAAGGATTTTGGTTTTGTATTCTAATTAACCTATCCACATTTCGGCTGGAATTTCATAGGCGAATAAAACAATTCATTGTAGCCTGTTGTGAATATTATATTTCTACCTCATCTTTCTTAAAAGGTTGGCTGAATCTGTATTGATACAACTAATGACTGTTTAATGTTATCCGTTCTTTAGATATAAATAAGTAAACTTCACAATGTTAATTACACGCTTCTTCGAACTCTAGCACATTGATCATGTACTAACCGTTAAGCAGATTAGTTATATGTAATGTGGTACACTCATATATACACTAGTATACATATATGAATGCAGTATCCTTCCTTTCATGCAAGTTACTAAATAACCACTGTGCATGTGATAGCATACAATGTGTGAGGAAATGTACTAAGATTTCACTCATACAATTATGATGTACCCAGTATACAGATAAGACAGTAAAAATAGTAACAATCGTGTTTGTTTACACGTGTATATATCAACACAAGTAGGTGTACATTATTTATATCGCACTATTTCAGGATCCGCATGGTTAGGAAGTATTGATTCGACAAACACAAATATACTAAATATGTCTTCCTGATATGAAACATCATGGAAATGCAGTATGTACATACCTTAGTTAACGTTTCTCCAATAACTATACTTAATCTGCGTTAATATTTTCGTCTGTCTTATATGCTGCTCACAGAACCATACAATAACAATCGGTGTGCATGTGTGTGCGTGTGTATCTTCGTGTGTATCGACACGTGTATAGCTCGTGATATACAGTAGAGGGCAATCATACAACAAAGGTCCCACCCTTCACGTAAGTGTTTTGTTTGTAATGATTAGTAAGCCATTGTTATTGTCATTTTCAAGTGACACTTTTTTTATGACAATGACAGCTTATCAAGTAAAGGTTAAGTTAAATTGTCGCACTTGCTCATCATAGCAGAAAATTGTTTAAAGAGAGTATCTATACATTTTGTAAATAAATCATTACAGCGCAACCTTTACTTTGTCGTGCTGTATTTGCCGAAAAGGGTTTAACTTATTTTCTTTGTTTTTTTTTTTTTTTAAATTGTGAATTTCGTGAAATAGCAATACAATATTATTAGCGCCAACAAAAATCATGACACATATAATTATTATTTGAACGGGACACAGGAACAACATTAACGTAGGATAACATTTGGATGTTGGAAACATTTGTGAAATAGAAAAGTATTAAAATTAATGAAAAAAAGCTAGAACGTTAAATAACAAAACTGTCTGCACATGCATATTAATCATTATCCAATAAATATCACATAAATAAAGACTACAAAATTAGTCTAAAATGAACAACTCCAAGGACACGAGAGCAATATTATTCTAGTACTTTTTCGGGTGTCTTCTTATAAAGCTATATTTTTTTTATATTTTGAACCAATTTAATTCATTTGGATTTCGATTATGTTAACTTTCAGTATATTCTTCCTGTTTTACAACGGTGAAAACATGGAATGTAAAACAATATCACAATATCGGCAAAGACAAAACATTGTTGCAGTGTACTATAAACATATACAGTAATATCACAAAATCAACATGTCAACATAATCATAATCCAAACTCATATCCAATAAATCTAGGACAAAGATTTGTACACAGAAACTCTTGAAAAGGTATAAGAAGAATGAGACCAGGTGTTCCGGAAGAGTAAGTGTCATACAATTGTTCTATGATTACGTTACAAAATACGGAACTGACAGTAAGAAGCTTTTTTACAATAAACAAAAAAGTAAAAGAAAAAAAGAGAAATAAAGTAACAATACATAAAGGTAACTTAAGACACTATGCGAGTTATTAAAGACTAGACGGGATGTTATACCAATGCATAAATGGTGAAAGTCTAAGGCATTATTGATGGAAACTTGGCAAAATAGGAACGACAGACGAATTACACAGCTGTCAAAAGTATGAAAGGGGTGGAATAAGGTTAACAGAATTATTTACTTTCTTCTGAACAAACACTGAACTATCACCATCATATTGAACTTGTATAATTGCAGTATAGGTATAAAAACAGGAACGAGGAAACATTGTCACGTTGTCATCTGCTCTTCCATTGTAGTGAAGGAAAATCCAACATCTGATGATAAACGTAAACCACCGGTGACTTTGAAGTCATATTTAACATACCATGTACATTATCTAATGTTGGACTCGGCACGTATGAAAGAGAAACATATTGTAGGATGAAACAGATAATTTGCATCATTCGTCAGCATCATGACCTAGATGTAGTTTATATAGCTCTTTTCATGCTCCAGGGGTTTGTAAAATGAATAAAAATGCGTTTCTCTGTAGTGTAACAAAAAAAGTTGTCTAAGTAATATGATACTGTATAGTATATGTCTGTACATCTTACAACCTACCTGCCAGTTGATGTTAGCTTTATTTCTATCAGCTGTTACGGTCTTTGATATATATTTAATGTATGTATCACATTATTATGATGTTGACCCACTGATATGTACAAATATATTTGAAATATAGCATGCAGCTTTAGGCAGTCCACGGGGTCTTAAAGTCCACTAGCAGTGTCTACAATCTTCTACTTAAAAAATTGTATAAAAGACACACAGCTGATAAGCACCTTTTTATAATTTGAGTTAGATACAGTAGAGTACAAAAATAACTCAAACTTCATCATACAGCTGTTTAGTTCTTCTAGGACTCGTTAGTAGTGTTAGGATTCTACATTTTGAAGCATAGGAGACTGTGTGATATAAATTTCAGTGTTTAGCTACATAGAAAACCGCAAAAAAATGATAATTACACGTTTGAATGAACATGTTAGTGTGAAATAGTTTCGATTTTTTGTGTACTTCATATGGGACATGTAAATGAAAGTGAAGCTTTGAACATTTGATGAACTGAAATAAACAAAATTGAGTACGACGTGTTTTTACTCCAAATATTAGTTGCAGCAGTATTACTGGGATTATTACGGGTATTCTTGACAATAGTAAAACGTTGGTTCATATCTGAGTCTTGATCATAATTTAATTTATCAAATAACCTAAAATGGCAAATACATATGTAACATATACACCCAAAGTTCATGGTGGGATTATGTTCACCACTGACCTGTCCTTGTACACGCGTCCGGAACATGAAATCGATGACAAAGTATCTCAGTATAACACTGTCTCAGCTCGCCTTTGTTGATGCAGGCTGGAGAAAATTATTGCTGTCGTAATTTCATTGTACGTTTTCTATTTCTTGGTGCTATTAAAGAAAAGGCGTATTTGATGCTCCTTAGTTTGTCTGTTGGTTTCGTTGCTGTATAATTCGTTCCTGTTTGACAAAGATACATTACTTACCTCGATTGATCTACGTTTACGAGACTAGTACCGTCGAAGAAGTAGAAGAAGCTTTCTCTTTCGGAATACCTGGTCTTAACCTCTTTTTTCCCAGACATGCATTTGTTGGACAACTGCCAGGTTTGGAGGTTTTTACAAAACATATCCTCACACAAGAGGGCTCTCTTACTCTACACATACCTTACATTCCAACAAATGATCATTTACATAGAAGTAGTTCACAGACGTTTTAGATTGTTAATTTAAATATGTTTTCAAAACCACACATAAACAATATGAAAATAAAGGTGTTGCGCTACCTCCATAAGGGAGGAAACTTTTATTCGGAGTTCATACCGGAAGTTTTATATCTGACTGCATATGTGGACACACGAGGACTTGGTGTGGCGTGGATTTGACCTGCTGATGCAGAAAGATTATATCTGGTAAGTTTTTTGCTGTCTAGTCGATCTGTTTGCTATTTTGGATTTGCTTCCGATAGTGGTTAATATGGTAATTATCTTACAATTCTAAACTATAACAACGTCAATGTTTAACTTATGCGATATCTATAAAATACAAGTTCAAAATTTGAATTCAACCTTGTACTATATTCTCAAGCGTCATAATATTTTATGGTATCATAGAGCTTGAAATAAATTATTTATATACGTTTCAGTGTACTTACATTTTGTAAAAAAGAAATGATCATAGATTTCCTACATACCACATACATTGCAAAATGGATTATCTTTTGTTTTCCATTTGTACATAGCATGGTTATTTGATTCTATGGATCAGTTTCCATTGAAATGTTACTTTGTTGCCCTCAACAATAGTAAAGATACAATTTTATATATATTAATTCAAATACTTGATTATTCAAAAACATTTTTCCAAAAAAACTGAGTGATCCAATTGTGTTTTTATTCCAGCATGTTTAAGATAACATTCTCACTTATCTTACATTTTATCCAATTTTTAAATGTAAAAGTCTTGTTTTTATCTTTTATGTATTTATTTCCTCACATAAGTTCTTTTGCAATGTCTAATAAACTGTTAGGATAGTTGTTATCTCCTCCCTATCGCTAGCCAGGGGTTAATGATATTCTGATAGAAAAAAAAATGTTGTTAGTCCTTCCAAGTTATTGGTTTTTAAACATTCAAGGAAAAAATTGATAGATCAATTTCAGAGTGGTCTGGTATGACTTCCTACTGGCTGTCATCTTTATTTCTTTATTCATTAACCTATCCGGCCTGCAAAGTAGTGATATGTACTTCTAAGTAAGCGTTTATAGCCTTTAGTGTACAAGGTGTTTTCATTTAATTGTCTCTATTTTCCCATCCACTAAGAAATAACATGTATAAGTGTATACCTAGAGCATTTATCTTTCCAGAAGACCAATCCATGTTTTCAAAATTGTTGTCTATATATTTTATCATTGCCAAGTCTAAGGCCCTGCGATTTGTTTCTATTTGATATCAAGCTTGAGAGACTGCTAAATATTTCAATCAGATTAAATGTAATAGAAACATCATTCTTAGTTTTTAGAAACTTCTTTCTTCGGTGTTGGTTTGATTTTTATACAACCTATTTTTTTATCTTGTCTAATTTTCATTGTTAAATATTTAACTGTAATTACAAAAAGAAGTGCTGATAATGGACAGCCTTGCTATGTCACAGTATAGTATTGATATCCAGTTCATGAAACTTTTTGTAAAATCCAAAATGTCTATATGTTCTTAACATAAATTCCCATTCTAATGACTTAAATGTCTTTTCAAAGTCTAAAAACAAAATAGCTCCAGTAATTTTGAAGTTTTCAGCATAGTCAATAATGTCTCGAATGAGACGTATACCATGCATTATAATCTGTTGTGTTTCTCAGTGTTTATTTAATTATTTATATATTTTATTACATTATTGACATCTAGCACAAGTGAAACAGCCTCATGATCTGCATATTTTATCAACTCTCGTCTGATATCTGTAATAATGTGTATTATGTCATTTTGTATAAAAAAAAGTTGTCAATTCTAATCGCTTCGTTATTACTATCTTTCCGTTTCTGTGTAAACTGTTGCTTGTTATTTATATCTCCAAGGATCAACCACATGACTTTCCTTCATTAGTATTTTTAAGAGCGTTTAGTAGATGTTTTGGTTTGTTTTCAATCGTGTATATATTGTCATTTAATTAGAGATCAACAAGCAGTAGCCTTCCATTTTTGTCATTATACGAATCTAATCGTATAACTGATAATGCTATCTATAAAAATATCAACACCATGACTTTGTTGTAGCAAAACTATGTATAACTTCCCCTTGCCATTCTGCTTCTATATATGGTACTAAATTTTCA